GACAAGTTGAAAATCAGGCTGGACATTTTTTTGTAATTTTAAAGTAGGAAATCTGGTACTTGAACACCCCTGATGTCAATTCAAGTCCATCCAAACCATATTGCACATCACCCCAAATAAATTATTATTGATTTTTAGAAAAAGGCCTGGGTGATTCCAGGAGGAGGAGATGTTACTGTTAACCTTCTGGGGCCTCACAGGCAGCTCCCCAGGGAGCTGAGAATGAAAATTGGGGGAACACTGATCTTTTGACCGGGTAATAATGAAATGACATGGGCATTCACTTGGCGAATGGAATTTGAGGCATCATAAATTTACTTTATTGAATTATCATCTTACTAGGGCTGCAACGAATACACTATGAGACGAATACAATTCGTATCACGAATATAGGGAAACGAATACGAATATTAATTCACGAATACAATAACAAGTCAGCAGTTGATGTATTGCTTGTTATGTTCAGTGAAGCAATAACAACAAAATATTTGACATGGTTTGTTAATTATTAATATATTATAAATTTCTATACTGCACTTATCCAGGTGCTAGTATCTGCTCAAATGCGACAATGACCAGTGACCACAATACTGTCAAATTAAATAGTATAAGAGTGTTGTCTTTTGAAGAAATCTATGCATATAATATGTTCTTAAGGATATTTTTATGTAAATGCACATGATTGCATGTTCATAAATATTCAATTCAAGTGGCCACGAATAACGAATTCAATTCAAGAATGGATACAGTTCGATTCACCAAATACGCGAGTGAATCGTAACAGCCCTAGTGCCGACACAAGGTGATGGGCAAACGAAAGTGCCCAAAGGCCAGGCAATCAATACATGACAGTTACCCATCAACATACAATCAACAAATCCCACCTGCATTGATACAACTCAACACAGGCGTTGATTGTTTATTGTACCTGTCAAGTCACCTGTAATACACAACTTGTCATTACCTTACCTGATTATTGCACCTGCATACTGTCTGTAACAGACAACCAATCTTCGCTAAGTATAGGCAAAGACTGGGAGGGACTACAATAGACCTCACTCCACATGTTAGAAACAGTTAAGTTAGTTAGTGCATGGTCAAAGACAAAGGAGCCATGGTTTAAAAACAAAGGAAACAGTTGATAATTATTACCGATGCTTATCCATGTAATATGGTCAATACCAAGTGACAGTTGACGATCAGAGAAGCGTTGCAATATGGTAGATACCCTGCAGATTACCATAGAAACCATATCAGACAATGGAAAAGGTTCACGAACTGATTACTGTTTATTTTATTTTACAAATTCATTAATTTCTATAATAACTAATCATGGTAATAAGTCTTGTTTTTCATCACAATCATTTGAAATACAAAAATTAAAATTACTGCCCCATGACATTTTGTAATTATTCCAATGCAATAGTTATCTTAATACCCTTCCAACTGTGAGTGAATGAGTGATTGAGGTTTAACTCTGCTTTTAACAGTATTTCAGTTATCATGGTTATACCTATACCGTGTCAGCCTAATGTGGGAGAAAAGCCTTAAGTGATGCAGGTCTCTGACCCTTAGCACTTTCTGAAACCCACGAGCACGGGTATGGTGCTGACAAACATAGAAACATAATCGGGTCGATCCAGGATTTGAACCCACAATCATAGGTTTCTGTGTGCCCAAGGGATGCAACTCCAGCGAACTGTGGCACCTTAGATGACAGGGCCACCCATGCCTCAATCAGTACTTGTGTACCTCTGGAAAAACAGGCAGTGTTCTTGTACACTCTGCAGAAAGGAGTGGTGTTCAACTTTCTTCCACATGCATATATGGTAAATACTAGGGCTGCCATGAATACACTATGAGGCGAATACGATTCATATCACGAATATAGGGTAAAGAATTCGAATATTAATTCACGAATACAATAACAGGTCAGCAGTTGATGTGCAATTTATTATATTCAGTGAAACAATAACAAAACAAATTATTTGACATGGTTTGTTCATTATTGATAAATTATACATTTATATACTCCACTTGTCCAGGTACTAGTATCTGCTCTAGAGCAACACTGACCAGTGACGACATTACTGTCATATTAAATATTATAAGAGCGTTGTCTTTGAAAGAAATCTATGCATATAATATGTTCTTATGGATACAGGTACAGGGTATGTAAATACACCTGATTGCATATTCATAAATATTAGATTCTATTGGCCACGAATAGCGAATTCAATTCATGAATGGATACGGTTCGATTCACTGAATACGCAAGTGAATTGTAAGAGCTCTAGTAAATACCTACTATGGTACACCCCGTGATTGACAGTCAATAATGACGATGATTTCACACTACAATTAAAAGCATTCCAGCTGTAGGAGGTGAGGTGAAATTGGGTTCAACGTCTCTCCCAAGATTATTGCACTTATATAGCGACATAGAGGCACATGTGTGTGGCTGCTTGTACTAGTCTGGACTAATGTTGATCTTATAGTGCTAGCCCACAGAGATACCATGCTGCAGTTTTAACAAGAATACCCCACTCAGACACAGTATACTGACGCTGAGCCGACCAGTCCTTGTTATAGCCACTGAAAATGCCAATCACCAGGCAGGGTAACAACAAGTACCATCTCTTAATGTCTTTTGGTATGATGTGACCGGGTATCAAAAATAAGTTATAGGTAAAAAATGTCATGTTTTCATGTCCTTCCATCTGCCAAATGCCTATCAAAGACTTCATGCCATGAGTGAGTGAGCATGGTTTTACGCTGCTTTTAGCAATATTCCAGCATTATCACGGCAGGGGACACCAGAAATGGGCTTCACACATCATACCCATCTCAGGAATCAAACCCAGGTCTTCGGCGTGACATGCAAATGCTTTAACCACTAGGCTACCTGACCACCCCACTTCATGCCATGACAGATTAATTATAGTAAAATGAAAGAATGGGTGTTCTTTAATTTTTGTTGAGCAGTACAGTAAAAATGTTGTGTCGAATGTGAACACATGGTGGACCTACATAAATACTTCGCATTTTCTGAGAGTCGACAACTGAAAATGATGAATAAAGTAGGAATATGCAGGGATCAAGCTTTTACTTTGTGACAACCGTAAGTTCGACACATCAGAGATCGACAACCGTAAGTTCGACACATCAGATTGACACAATGGAGTTTCACTGTACAGCTGTATATATAATCCCTTCCTTTGTGAAACTGGACACTGTCTTTTGGCAAACAGATTCCTCCAGGTCCGACCATGATGACAGGCTGGTGCTATGTCTAAACACTGCAATTAGTGCCATGTTTTAACAGTAACATTGTCTCTGTGTAATCGACTGCTAGATTACTGTACATCATAAACCTTGAAGTAATAGACAACAGTTGGTTTTAATGATTAAATTAATTGGCTTCGCAGCTACAATGGAAATAATCTTTTATCAATCAGGGACATCAGTCTACTGATTTTCAAAACGAGTCAACCTTGTGAAAAAAACTAACAGGTTTTTTTTAAATTTTGCTCAAATTAACACCAAATGTTGTGTTATGCTGCTGTGAACAATATTCGAGCTACACCACCAACAGCCTGTATATAATCGAGTCTAGTTTTTTCTCCAAAATTGTGTTATTCATTGATGACGCCACTTGTATAGAGATGTGCAGGCACGTGTGTGTGGTTTTGTTTCTGTTAGTGGTAGTCAAGGGCCAGCGGTTTTATAGTGCTAGACCACTGGATACGATGCCACAGTTTAACATCGATCCCCAGTCAGACACAGCATACTGACTCCCAGCCGACCAGTCTTTGTTTTAACAGCTTAATGTAAGGTGCCAGGCAGGGAAACAACAAGTACCATCTTTTCAACAACATTTGGTTTGACATGACAGGGACCAAACCACCAACATCCCGCTCTCCGGGCAGACACTCTGTCCACTTACCCACGGAGGTGGTCCCGATACATTATTTTACTGAATCATGACATAATCAGCCAAGCCACACAATGTAAGGTGAAGGTGAGGTGAAATGAGGTTTAACGTCATGTCCAAGATTATTGCACTTATATAGCGACGTGCATGCATGTGTGTATGGCAGCTTGTACTAGTCCGGACTGATGCCGATTTATAGTGCTAACCCACTGAGATACCATGTCGCAATTTAGCATAAATACCCCACTCAGACATAGTATACTGACTCTGAGCCGACCAGTCCTTGTTTTAGCCTCTCAATGCCGAGCGCCAGACAGGGTAACAACAAGTACCATCTTTTAACATCTTTTGGTATGACGTGGCCGGGGATCGAACCCCGAACCTTCCGCTCTCCAGGCGGACACTCTACCACTTGACCACGGAGGCGGTCCACACATTGTAAGAACCCAATGCTGAATAGTGGACACAAACAAGCAAGGGGAATATTGGTGGCCTTATCTGCCCAGAACCAGTGTCAGTGCGACAAATAACTGTGTAACAGAAAACCATGGGAAATAAAACAAAGACTGCATCATCAATAAAATGCTTGATACCATCAGAGACCATAAACTTTAATGATCTCTCATACAATGTATACATAATTGTTTGGTTAATGTTCTCAAAGCATGTGTCAAACAGTATAGAAATTGATGTATAGACTGTTATACAACGACTGCCTGTTACAATGTGTCATACAGTAATATTGTTATAGTACGCAGATCCCCAACAGCTGATACGAGTATTGTCCGTGTTACTAGTACTTATAATGCATTCTGGGGTATAACACAAAATGCTACCATAGTATCATTTCCAGTTGATTCACAAGTCAACAAACCAAATGAAAGAAGGTGTTTTCCTACTACAGGCTATTTTGGGGGTCAGTCGCACCATACCATTTCAATAAATAATGGCGGCCAGAGAGGAAATGTCAAAAGCCTTTAAACTGCATATCGGTCGCAGAGTATAATCACACAGCCAAACTATAAAACTGAATCGCACGACATGTAAAACCGAAATATGTACTTACATTTAGTGCCTAGCCGGCAGATACACTGAAGATGGGCTGTAATTCGGCTTCTATGAGGTCGTATGCTCCAGGAGTTGGCGATGCTTAGACTGTCGTGCTCCGACGTGTGGGTTAATTGGGTAACAATATAATGACGCTCCAACTATCATTCAATCAAGAGCTTGTGTTAATTACATAACATTCGTCGCGTGCACTGCATATGCACTCGCTGAAAGAAGGACAACAATATACGAATATCCACCTTTGTTTACAATCACCCCCGAGGTCACAGTGAGCAGGTGTTTCTGTATTCCTCCGCCGTTATATAGTGCGTTCTGTCGCACGCATTGCCCAGGTTTAAGTTATTGAGGTGCTATAGTCTCTACACGTAAACCCTAGGTTGAACAGCTTACTTATAATTCCCTTTCCGTCTGAAATCGCAATGTCGGCACACGCATGCTAGCTCGGTTCCAATGTATGCGCATTAATTCTTGTCTCTGGAGCCTGATTGGCTCCTGAAAATATGACATCATCGAGATAGTCTCAGGGTTGATATCACACCTCAAGTGATTATTTATATTAGACATATAAAGAAAATTAATGGTGTGTCAGATTTGTCTGATCAAGTGGAAGTCGGATGAATCGAGTATAAGATTAAAATTTTAAAAATCTAAGCAGAAATTCGAAACATAAATAATCTGAGATGCATCGTTAACAATGTGTATCAGATCAAGCCTGAAGAAACAAAGATAGAAACCACTAGAAATATATATTTAGAATAAATGCCCGGGTTTAATTCATTTATACGCGTGATTACATTTTCAAATAAGCATACAGGAAAACTCTATCTTTATTTTCGTCGCCAACCATATACACTGAATGTATTGATGCACCGCCTTGTAGGATACGTGGGTCAATATTTTTAGGACATCAACTTATTCCTGTGATTCAGGTAGAACATAGCTCTGTTTATTCTCTTGTTTATCCAAGGTAGGTGTTTATGCAAGCGGCTAGAGTTTATTTCTAAAACGGATCATACATGTCAAAGAACAAGAAATGTTCTCTCTTATTGAGTGAGTATATTTTTATGCCGCTTTTAGCAATAAGCCAGCAATATCACGGCGGGGATGGGCTTCACTCATTGTACCCATTTAGGAAATCAAGCGAACGCTTTGACCATACTAACAACAAGGCGACCACCTGGCCTTCTCCTACCTTGCCTGCTCATCCGCGTTCATGCAAAACATTTGTTTTTTTAGCGATGCCCCAACCCCGCGGCGGCTACTGAAGTTGGTCGTTTAACAGAGAACCCCGAAGGGATCTCAGGTTAGAATAGGCCCCAAAACTCGATGGCTGCTCACTAACAAAGCATTATGTCACAAAGGGGGCACGGGTGGCCCAGTCGTCTAAGGCGCCGCGATTTGCTGTGCAGAGTTGCGTCCCTTGGGCACGCCAGAAACCTATGATTGTGGGTTCGAATCCCGGTTCGCCCCGATTATGTTTCTAGGTTTGTCAGCACCATACCCGTGCTCGTGGGTTTCACCGAAGTGGTAAACGTCTGAGACCTGCATCACTTCAGGCTTTCCTCCCACATTAAGCTGACACGCCGTGATATAACTGGAATACTGTTAAAAGCGGCGTTAAACCCAACTCACTCACTCACTCATAATGTCACAAAGGTACACCAACACATTTTTTTCATTTACCTTCTAGGGCCACGGGTCTAACCATGGTTCGCCCTCGCCATGTTTCTATAGGTTTGTCAGCATCATACCGGGTTCATGGGTTATACCAAACTGGAAAACACCGAAGACATTCATCACTTCCGACTTTCCCCAAACATCAAGCGAACATGCCGTGGTATAACTGGAATACTGCTCAAAGCGGCGTTAAACCCAACTCACTGACTCACTCACAATCACATTTAATTTCTGGTTTTGCGGCTGAAATAGGTTTGTTACATGGCACATTATAGTCTCCTTGTCCAATCCTATCAAACCACACACAATCATCATGGTTGTTACGTTATGGCCAACGTATAAGAACATGATACAAATTTTTGATTATTCTCACAATTTCTTCTCACAAGGAAAATCAAATTAATCGCTAAAGAAGTAAAAGAAAAAGTGAAAATTGTACAGCGAACCCTTGTTTACCGGGCGATATACGTACCGTTCAATCTACATTCGTCCAGATTTACCCATTTCCTGATTATAACGAATCATTTGTTCATTGTACCAATTCACTAATTGTACCAATGTGTGTTTTCAACAACAACAACAACAACAACAACAACAACAACAACAACAACACACACACACACACACACACACACACACACACACACACCATAATACAAACACACACACAATAACACAAGCACACAGACACACATCATAACACAAACTCAAACACATACCATAACATACACACATACAGTCACACACACACACCATAACACAAACACACAGACACGCACTCACACATATTCACACAAACACACACAGACACGTACTCATACAGACACACATAAACACAGACACACATGAACACAGACACGCACTCACACAGACACACATAAACACAGACACGCACTCACACATATACACACAGACACGTACTCACACAGACACACATAAACAGTCACGTACTCACACAGATACACATAAACACAGACACATACTCACACAGACACACATATACACAGACACGTACTCACACAGACACATATAAACACAGACACTTACTGACACAGACACGTACCCACACAGACACACAGACACGTACTCACACAGACACATATAAACACACACATAAACACAGACACGTACTCACACAGACACATATAAACAGAGACACGTACTCACACAGAGACACATCACATATACACAGACACGTACTCACACAGACACATATAAACACAGACGCGTACTCACACAGACACATATAAACACAGACGCGTACTCACACAGACACATACATACACAGACATGTACTCACACAGACACATATAAACACAGACACACATATACACAGACACACATAAACACAGACACGCACTCACACAGACACACATAAACACAGACACGCACTCACACAGACACACATAACACAGACACGCACTCACACAGACACACATAAACACAGACACGTACTCACACAGACACATAAACACACACATTAGCACAGACACGTACTCATACAGACACACATAAACAGAGACACGTACTCACACAGACACACATAAACAAAGACACGCACTCACACAGACACACATAAACACAGACACGCACTCACACAGACACATATAAACGCAGACACGCACTCACACAGACACACATAAAGACAGAGACACGCACGCAGACAGATACATGCACGCACAATGTTTCAGTTGTAAGTGGGAAGCCCAGAGAGGCGGGAAACCCACAAGCGCGGGTATATTTGGCGCTGACAGCCTACCCAGATTTAAGCAAAGGGACGCAACTTTACACAGCTAATTCAGACGCTTCACCCATCTCAACCTACAGTGTCTCTCCCTATATATTGAAGTAATGAACAACTGCTTAATATACTTATCTTGATTAAGAGACCAGTGTTAATTCCACCATCTTATTCGAACCTTTCAGGACTGTACTTTTCAATTATTTGGATTACCGATTTTTTTCAGCATTATGCGGTAGGTGATCGAAATAGATTTAAAGTTGGTTGAAATTAAGTGAACCGTAGTGTCGGCGGGTCCATAAACAAAGGAAAACCAACACGCCTTTTACCAAGATTGCATCTAGAACCAAACAAAACAACTATAACGGTACGTTTGTACCGGTGTTAGGATTACAATTACCCTTTGATTATCATAATGACAACCATTATCAACACAATCAGGCGATGTGCTTACTAACACATTCCGACTAATTCTTCCAACTATTATTTGCAGAAGATATCACAAATAATATTTACATATTTTTTGTTTGTTCAGTTAACGCGCACAACCGTCCCAAGGGACACTAAGCACAGGCCATCTGAGCCCGCCCAAAAACACTTATAGTGCAGATATGATAGCATAAATACATCTTCAACAAACACCCCAAACCTCCTCACTCCATCATACCTATAGACACACTCTCAAGCTGCACATCGGCTCTAAAATCCCCTATTCACGTACAGCAGAATAAGTGTTCAAGGAGTATATGCCATGGAGAAGTGGAGGTTCAGCTTTGTAAGTCGACCGGCCAGAGGCAAGTCAGGTTTTATGTGTCTGTCCCCGGACGTGATCATCCGCGCGTGATGCTTACACTGTCGTTGGGATGAGAATTAAAACATATGTATGTCCTTGATGGCTGATGATCACCCCCGACCCATATAGGTCATGACTGCGGGGAGCAGATTAAGCTTTTCTTACATTAAAACACAACTAACAGTTAGTAGTACATGGTGTAGACGCGTATGCTTGGATGTGGTGAGGCGAGCTATCAGTATTGACGGGATTAATTGATAATAATATAGAGATATAACATGTTATATCAACCATTGAAGCGTTGTATAAACCTTATGATTTATTATCTGATTTCGTTTTCCATAAAGGGGCTTAAGGTGATGCGTGGGTAATATTAGTAATTAAATATGATGGGTGGGTGGTGTTGTGGGTAAAGTGTTCGTTCGTATTGTCGTAGACCCAAGTTCGATTCCATACATGAATGAAACTAGGTTTAAGTGTTATTGTTGTCATCGCCATTCGCTGTGCAGAGTTATGTCCCTTAGACGTGCCAGGATGCAATGGTCGTGGGTTTGAATCCCAGATCCGCCCTTTTTACGACTGTTGATTTGACAGCACCACACGAGTGCTCGTGGGTAAACAATCATATCAGGACTTGACAAACCAGTGATTGATATTGTTAGCAGCAAAGCCGTCATATTGCTGGAATGTGGAGTGCGGAATGTTAAACAGCACCCAACTAACAAATATCATTACATGCAGTGGTGCTGGGGATCGGTCCTGCCAGGAATCCCAACGAAGGATTTTAGACCTGATAATGAAGTCGCATGTCCAATAAATCATCCCGCTTACCCCGATGTCATCCGAAGCCGACAGGGGATATGAACCAGTACTGAATACCAAACAGTACTGAATACCAAACAGTACTGAATGCTAAACATTGTCCGTACATATGGCTGGATTAAAACGTCACATATCTGCCACATATCAACCAAGTCAGCGAGCCTGACCACCCGATCCCGTTAGTCGCCTCTAACGACAAAATTGTCCCCATTGTTGCCGACAAGCACGACATGTCGGGATCTGTCCAGGCCCGGAATCCCGACATGGTGACGTTTTCAACTTCAGCAAAACTGTCGTGCTGACAGTTTGGTTTGTTTGTTGTTTTACGCCGCACTCAGTAATATTCCAGCTATATGACGGCTGTCTGTAAATTATTGAGTCTGGGCCAGGCAATCCAGTGATTGATATCATGAGCATCGAT